TCTGCACAGCATTTGCCTGCAACTAGTCTTCGCATCGACTACGGCCCAGCACCTACTCGCGCAAAATGATTGAATCATTGCATAGCTTCGATCCGCTGGCCCTCTTGGCTTAAGGCCCGCTTTGCCTTCTCAGGTTTTTCTCTGCTTTCGTCCCTTGCTGAGTTTGTTCCCCTACTGAACCGCGCCCTTTTGCTCCTTCCGTTTAGTGCTCGTTGCTACACAATTGCGACGCAGATTTCCCTTGCAGCGTAGCTAGTAAAAGCAGCATCGTCTTCTCTGGGAGCGTGCAAGCAACAGTTTGGACGAGTGGTGTTGCATACCAACTATCGCCGACGAGCAGGCTAAGCACGCCTGGCCGTCCGTACCTGTGCTATACTGAACATTCTTGCACTCCATATTGAGTTGAGTGCTTAGCTGGTGCAGTACTGCAGGAGGAATCTTTATTTGCTGACGGCATTTCTGTTCGCCTCCCCGGAAGTCGCATGGGGTCACTAGGTCTTGCAAGCTCGACCCACCGTGATGAGAGATATTAGACTGCCCGGGCTTACGAACTCCTCAGCCGAAGATGATTTTGTGCGACGGTCTGCCTAGCATTGCTACTCGCATTTTCACTAGTCAGCACATGGGCTATAATGACCGCCATGAAAATTTTTAAACAGGTTTCTGTGGCGTCAGGGCTTGCATTCAATGGGGAGTTCGGCGTGTTTACATGTGAGGTTGTCTTGCAGCAGACCTTACTGTACGGTTTATGTTAACTGATGACTGTCATCCTCCTCTCCTCACCAGCCGCAGGCGCTTGCGCCGCTGAGCAGAGGGCGCCTAATTGCGAGAGGGCAGGCCAGCTGCTCTCTGCGAAACGCACACCTCAAGTAATTTGACCTTGCTGGAGCCGAAGATAGTCTTTGGATCCTTTCGATGGGCTGTGGTACATTCATTCCACCTACCGGTGGGACAAGCCGCGTACGGTTGTCACGGCTGCGGAGAAAAGCGCCCCCCTGCAGGTGTCGGTCTTCCTCACCTTCGAAAACACGAAAACAGGCTGCACTAACAATGTCTTTAGAAGGTTTCTGGTGTTCCTGGCGAGCCCTATTTCATGTTTATCGACTGAACGTAGAGGTTAGTAGGCTTTCGGATCGCGGATCCCACAGGGCCACGGTACAAAACCTGTTGAGTGCTCTGCAAGTAAAATGACGGGCGAACCTCCAAATGAATCGTACACAGTGATCACCTATGAGTGTATCCTTTGACTACGATTAAACGGCTCTACAAGGAAAATTTGTCACGAGCCTTCCAGGAGCAAATGGCGTTTCTGTGGAAGTTGCCAGTCGTCGCCGCCTCCCAGGTTCGAAAACAAGCGCCTCGAACCCACATGATTTCCCCCCATTTCTTTCCGCACCTTGCGAATTACTGTTTAATGCCTAAATCCCAATGTAATAATAGCAGCTGGAGCCCACAGAGCAGCTCCAGCCCTCACCGGAAAGGGCGCTGCTCGGTGATGGCCCAAGGACTTGTCCCCTCCAAGAGCTATCTCGCTGGCACCGCAGCGGAGGGACATGATTTTAACCCTGTAGAAAGCATGA